AAGTACGGAACCACTTTAGACCCTTTCCATGTGCCAGAGATTGATTTGAAGTTTGATAAGAAAATCGCACTGACCTGGTGGCACGGTATGCATACAAAACATATGTTAAATCCGATAAAACCTCACAATATCCATTGAATTACAGGACAACTGAACCTGACTGAGGGTCAGGTGAAAGGTCTGTCCCATTTGGCTCGTTCTGGTGACTGTGACATCGGCACCGATAAGGGAAAGTTCATCGCTCACATCCAGTTGGGCGACTCCAATGTGAACGTCCATTTCCACGGCGTTATGAAACTCAACATATTTCATGCGACCGTTAATTTCGACGCCTCTGTCGGTAATCTTGACATTAAGGCGACCGCAGGTCTGGACGATAAGGGAAAGTTGATGCTCAATGAGTTCAACGTGGATGAGCTCAAGAACGTCAAGATCCATATCTCAGGCCTTTCGATCCTGACCCCTCTTGTGAACGCCATCGCCAACGGATTTGTCACCATTTTTAACCCTCAGGCGCGCAGTCTTATCGGTAATGCACTGAAGGGTATCATTGAGAAAGAGATCCAAAATATCAAAATCCCTCCAAATGCTATCTATGAATACTAAATGCACTTTTCATTGTATTATATAATTATCTCTCGATTTGTAGTACAAATGTTGCATAAGTTTAATTGTAAAAATTGTAAACCTATAAATAAAAATTTATTTGTTTAAATACTCTGTATTAATATCTAATATTTACATGATAGACGTAATTGTCATTTATATTTTAATATGAACAAATTATTTGGTTAAATATTTAATCGGAAACAATTAATAAAAGTTAAATACTAATTTAATTTACAAAGTAATATTCATGCTTGTAATTCATTGGACTAAAAATATGTTTTATTCACTTAAAAATATAATTTTAAGTATTACTATATTCAATAGATTTCAGTTTTTACTAACGATTCGTAAGAATTCAATGTCATAATGTGCCAGTTGTTAGATAAGTTAATAAGCACATCACTATTGATTAACAAACTCTCAAACCCTTTTATTAAATATAGTAGGGGAATTACATTGTGTATATTTTAACGAACAATTCTTATAAAATATTGTATATTAAATTACATAGTGTTGTTGTCTAGTTGATCACTAGATTTTTGTAAAGTAAATTCAAAGAATACTAAAAATATTTGGTGTACAATGTCTTTCTTATATTGGTATACAGATAATAATAATTATTATTCTGTCACTTAATTAACAATTAGAAAATAAGACATTTAGTTATTTATAACACGAAAGTCAAGTTCCTGATCACCTAATATTTTACCTTAACCTCAGATTATAATTATAATAGACATACAAATGTGTATTTTGATTGGCTGGACAGGTGGCTATTAAATAAGCACACAATTAGTGAAGATCTGCCATAAGGATTCAGATACAACTGGTGCTCATAAAGTGTTTATTATTCAGGGAACTGATTAAAAGTTTGTTGATATCTTACTATCACTACAAAGAGATTATAAGTGAAATGTTTGACTCTTTGTGTGTAAAAATGAATTATGTCTGAATCGCATTCATAGTAATTAGTGTTTTGTAACAAACAGTCATAACAGGACCGGTAGCCGACGAGAATACGAGTGCGACTACACCGATGCCTGTCATGAGATACTGGAGGACAGCCCGCGATAATTGATCGTCACATACCTTATCCTCTCGACAGGACTGGATGAGGAAATGGAGCCAAACTGAGACCGATAAGAGGCATTAAAACTGTTTAAATGATTACCAATTAGTTTCAATGAACCGGCTGTCTCAATGATTTATTTGCAATAAATTTTATACTCAACTTATTAGTGCCATATTAACTTACTGTATATAAACCTACAATTTTACGCAATAATTCACTATTTGAAAATAGTTTATAATGTATAGAATAAATGCAATGTCAACCAAAATGTATTACTTTTTATTTTCAATTAAACATTTGATTGAAATTGATTCAATAATTAGTTTGTCTCATAGTAATAACTTAGCATAAGTTAATCATTTTCACAAGGCATACAGTATTAACAGATAAAACCTTTTATTAAATATTATTTGATTATCTAAATAAAATAATCATCTCATTAAAAATATAATTATTCAGCACATAAATGCATTTGAAATTATTATTATCACAAAGGAGGTATAATAAAACTTATAAATAGTTTTCAACTAAGATATGAGTGACAATGAATTCAATTTAATTGATGAATCAGTTAATATGATTAATAGCTATTTCTATTTCTTATAAAAATACTTCAAATATTTACAATAAAAAAACATGAACTAAATAAATAGGTAATCAATAGATAATCAAATCATTTAAGTTTTATATTACTGAAGACAACGTTAGGATCACTTGAGTTGAGTACATCATTGAATCGTCGCCTCCTTTCCATGGCTTCACTATAGCTATCAATGCTTTGTTGAGAACTCCCGGAACTGGAGCTCCCGTTTTGTTCAATTGAATTCATATTACGATTCCTATTCATCCAGTTCCTCAGTGTGCCCCTCTTCCACACAAAGTACAGGTTCACACAAATACTAACACCAATCACCGCACCTATGATTATAAAACACAATTTGATCACTTTTGCCGTATCCCAGTCACTATCGTCCACACCTAACGCGTGTGCATCTGATTCAGTACTCGTGATAATTGGTGTCAATTCAGTCCTCACACCAATTAATTGTAATTTTCTTGTCGCACATATAAAGTCATAGACATATGAGGTGTCGAAACACGGATTTAATGTCCACTTTAGGTCCGATGGCCTGATTGATACACACTTTTTGTCACTATTTATACCGTTTGCCTCGTTATCCCAATTAGTGAAGTCCAGTGCAGACTTGTCGTCCCATTCATAGTAACCTATAGTTAGAATTTTCACAGAATTTCTAATTTTGCTGTATTTTAAAATTAAAGTAATTATAAAATTAAATACCATGCTCAGTCTCATGTAAACCAATCCAAGTATTATCTCGTATCCTATCTCTCATTTTGAACATTGAATTCAAATGATAGGAATGGAGTGACAAAAGTGTTGAGTTGAGTGATCGACACTTTTCCGAGGCTTCACTCCATGTGGTCTTTAGTAGGTTTGGCTCAAAGTCTGAACTAAATAAATAGCAATACTCTGAATCCCTGTCCAAATTAGACCAGCTTTGCTCTTCAGTCAACTCGGGACAGACGTGTTGGTAATGGTCTTTGTGTTTGGGTGTTGAGTGAACTTCGCTTGTCTTACAAATGAATGATCTCTTCTCTGAGCACAAACTTAAACTCCATTCCCCGGACTCTGTGTCCATGAAAACACAGGTATTATCCAAACCCTTTGACATAAGATTGGGTTGTTTGGGAGCCCAGAAGGTCAGGTTAACTGTGCGCTTATCTGTCCACCGAAAATGTAGTTGTGGTGAGTTTGGTACAGCAAACAAACCAATCCACAATTGGTCTACATTTGTATAATTTTTGGCATAACTTGTAATAAAATCATATTCAGAGAGCTCTACGATTGACGTGAGATTAGATCCGCTCATTCGCTGACATTCTTCCTGAGCTTCTGTCCAACTGAGAGGCGTTTGAGTCATAAATAGATAACAAGAATCGCCATATTTTATGCTATCATCCCATTTAAGGCCCGATATATTGCATTTGCTGGGTGTGGGTTGGGGTGCAACAGGTTGTGCACTCCATTCAGTGCTTCCGAAAACTGCAAAATAGGCTAAATTAAAAACAATATCCTTGCTAATTAATTCTTATAACTCTCTTACTGTTTGCAATCTTTTTGATTCTTCGCCTCAGATTATATGGTGATTGAGGGCCAGACGGGGAACACATAAAACCAAAGGCGCTGTCATTACAGTTGGTCTGATTCCAAGCTCCAGTCTCCCTATCAATGGTGACACACCTAATGGCATCCCTTTTGTTTAAACCCTTATTTTGAAAACTACTAAAATCTTTGGCCGACCGCTCGCTCCAGTGGTAATGACTATTGATTTTGAGTAAATTACTTAAACGTATCCAAAAGAGTTGCGGCGAACTCTTGGTCAACACATCCACCAAATAGTTGTCAACATTTTTATTATGAACAGTAAGTAAACGCAAATTTCTCTGTCGACAGATTGTGTCAGCCTTTTGCACGTCAATGGTTTCGCTTGAGTTGTATATGAAGTAATGGATACTATTCCTCACATTTGATAACATGTTTTCATGAGAATCCGTCTCAGAATATGTGAATCCATTGATTGCATCTATTATTTGAAATTATTAATTTGAAAAATATAAATAAGATTGCTAACAATTTGAATGAATATATAATGAGAATATATATAGTAATTTAGTAGTGATTGTATACCTGTTATTATTATAGAATAAATCAATAGGAAAGTTAAATAAACAAAATTCATTTTTAATTTACTAAACATTATTATTAACGGTATTTACATGAAAAACAGCTATGAATCACATAATGATTATAATGACATGAACTACAAGTATAAAAATGTAATTTTAATTATCGTATTGAAAAGAGTAGACTATTCTTGAGAGTCTTATCGCTGGGAATGGCATTAATATAAGGATTGCATTTGTATTACGAAATAAAAAAGAGAGAAAAATAACTCATTTTTGGTGTTGAATAATAAGTTATCAGTTTTTTTATACACATTTATCGCTTCAATAGCGTATTAATTGACAAATATTATAGATTACTAAATGAATTCCCGTTTCAACTCAAAGCTAAAGAATAACTAATATTTTGTTTGCAATTATTAAGCGGTTTGTCAACGAAAATACCTTTCGTTATCAAAGGGTATATCAAATATAATGTATATAAATAGTGAAAGTAAAATAAATATAAATAAATGAAATGAACAAAAACATTATTGTATTCAATAAATGAGTTGACAAAAAACAAAGTGAGACAAATATTTGCGCAAAACAATACGTAATGTAAACGAGTTCTACGTAACCAGGGTGTTTAGACTTATCAAAGATGTGAAATTTCAATACTAATATTAGACTTGTAAAAAATATTATCTACATTAGACTACCTGGTTGTACAGGTATAACCTTCACAATAGGTGTTGCATACTGTGCACAGAATATGTATAATTGTGACTCAGTATAGAGTACTTGACTTTACAAACGATATTAATTTATATGATTTTGTGCAATGATTTTCTCATTTTAACAATTATTAACCGCTATACCACTTATGCTTCAAATAATTAATACCAATATTACCTTATATCTATTTAATATGATATCAAATAAATCATTTTGTTTATCTATACTATCTAACTGTAAGAGCGTCTAGGTTAATTAATAATTTAAAAAATAGTTTATAATAAGTTCTTATCAATTTAAATGACAATTTAGCACTTGATGACTATATCGTAGATCATAGTAACTTATACTTTTGTACTAATTATAACTTACAACATGTGATACTGTTTTGTATTCACGGACATAAACTGTGTAAATGACAGATTTAACGTAGAAAATGCCAACATTTGATATTTGAAATATAAGAATACATTTACCTATTAATAAATGTTTTAACATAATCACACCATAAAAAGTTTGAAATATATTATATAATATTGTATACAACTTAGTGAACTTTTACAATATCAAATAAATAATATTTATTCTATGTTACAGTTAAAGTGAGTTACACTGTATTATGTGTATAGATATAGATTAGTAGACAACAATTATTTAGTATATCAAAAAGTTAAATAATTGTCTATTGTATAGATTAAAATAATTTATATTTGTAAATAGTATTATACAGTACAGTGGTTTATACATAAGTGGTTTACACGATTGCTGTCTGTATAATATTAGGCCAATTTCAATGATAAGAATTTATAGAGAACTTCTAAAAGTGGTTATATTATATAAATCATAATTTGTCATATTTGAAACAAATAAACATGACACATTAATACGTTTGACAAAATTATTACATTAATAATAACAATTCTATGTTTGGAAATTTAAAAAAATTATATAATTCAGTAGTACTATAGTTGTACAGTAAGAATCATTTGAAATATTAATTTGCTTGCCCTTTATTTTAAATAAAACATTCTAATTTATTATTTATTAGAGTATAGCTATAACTAAATTATAAATTACCATTTTATTGATATAATTTTATTTATAATTGTAATAAAAATTTTGATTTAAAACAAATGAATTTAAACTTTGAAAACAACAGAGTATTTGCCTTCGAGTGAGTGTTGTTTGGATATAAGTGTCACTCGATTTACACTTTTACCCCAATTATGCTCTAATCTCGAGTCATTAGTCTTGTGCTCTTCGATCACATAATCAAACAAATTGTTGTCAAAACTCATCGTTAACTTCACGCTCTTATCCTCGAGAACCAGATCTC